CAGCAACATTCTGGATAATAATGCCTCATGAGGCCTACTCATCTCGTCGAAATCTAAACTCTAAGTCCATCACCAGAGGCGACCCATGTTGACTAAACCCCTTATTCAAGATTTACTGGGAGTCTCGAGATCTTAATTAATTCCAACACGACTTTCCTTGAGCCAAAACTCATTTCGTGTAAAGCGTGAAGATGTGCCCGCCAAGACTTATGGCACAGAAGTCTAGTTCACGAGTAAAAGTGTACCGAACAGAGCCTATTTTGAGTCTAAAATCGTATCAACAGAAGTTACCCGCTTGAAGCAGAATCTCTACAATCTGAATGTAGTTCTTCTTGACCGCAATGTGAAGGGCTGTGTCTCCAGTTGTGTAGTCTCGCTTGAAAAGGTCCAGGGTTCGTTGATTAACCAGCAGTTTGACAGCATCACGTTGGTTGTAGCTCACCGCCTCCATCAGAGGGGTTAAACCGATCTGGTTGGCAACATTCATTCGTGCTCCAGCCTGAAATCAAGAATTCCTTATTCTTTATAGACTAAAGAGAGAGAGATTGTGTGACAAGCATAATTAGTCATTAATTGAACTTGGGGCTATCCCGAGCCTCGTAAGAGGCGACACAACAATTTTACTTCATCTCTTCGATAATGAAGCCGTCCAAAGAACTCACACATTTCGTCCGGGATGGGTCTAGGTGTGGAGAACAATCGAGTCAGGAGCAGGTGCTACTCATCTTCAGGCAGTCCAAGAATCCCCTCTTCCAATATCCCCTCATCCAGTGCGTCTTAGACTGTTACTGCGACCAAGGCCATGGTAATCGCTATTGACGCTGTCAAGGCCTGTTCAGTCTACCCACAGCATAAATGAAAATGAGTATGAAAAAATAGGTTGGAGTGTGTATACGCTGGAAGAACTTCTCTCAATAGTAAGTCTGAGTCTGTTTCGGTACTATCGGTAATACGTGAATGCTAATGACAGTTTCAAGGTGCACTGATAGTGGGTATGAGCAACTTTGTCGATGGCAAATATGCAATCCTACTTAAAAAGTGTGATTTGAGTGAAGCCGGGCTCGCATTCGAAGTCACCACTGGCACCCGATCGGATTTAGAAGTTCATTAGTGGTCGAAACTACAGTTTATGCTAGCTTGTATGAGAAAACCGTTGGAGAATCAGTTCACTATCGGTCCTGAAATCCACTTTAAAAACCCGGACTGACTGTGAACTCCTCTATTTTGCATCATGAACCGTACTTCGTACCTGAGATTTGTTGTCGTCCACTCATCTTCCTTTCTTCCTCAGAGGAAAACAAGCTTCACTGCTTTCCATAACCAGACGCGCCCAACGTTTGGCCGACTTTTTTTCCAGCATCGCCTCCGGACGACCGGGCTGAAATCGCGGATGCTTTTTTATTAAAAAATCCCTATCCTGATGGCTGTTACCCTGAGGCCCTAGGGTTGAGGTCAGTTCAGGCCTCAGACCTGAAGCCTTAGCGTGCTTGGTCGTCAGGTTTATTATAATTGGAATTTTAATTGAGCTATCACTAAAGCCCACCTTGATTAGCATGTTGGTGATGTCGGTAGATCCTTGTCTACAGGAGAAGTGAAGTGCCATCTCCTCGTTCCGATCTTTAAGGTTCACATTGGCTCCTGCCGCGATCAAGCGTTTGACGGCCCACAATTTGCCACTTCGGGCCGCCTTCATCAACGGAGTTTTATTAGTAATGTCCTAAATAAACAAGGTTGTGGAGAGGACAGGCAATGATTTGATTAGCAAGATTGTTCTGTAATGGCTAAAAATACCACAAAAATAGCATCAATCTTTTAAGTTCTCGTTGAATTTTTTTTGTTTTTTTTCCTTTTTTGATTCACAAAGCCTTACCCATTTATTTGTCAAATTAAAGCATTCCTTCAGTTGAAATAACGCAAAACTAGACCTTCAAAGTGAAGATTTAGCGGAAAACTAAGCACAATTAGAAATGGATTTTTTTT